ATAAGAAACTACCTCAAAATTTCCATTTGTTCCGTCGAGTCATTCATACAGGGCAGAAACTTCACAGAGTGGAATGTTCCAATAGGAAAGCAGGATTTAGTAAAACAGCGTAGTCAATTCGACACTAGGGAACATGTACAAGGAGTCTCCTGAAGGGATATTCTATCAATATTGCCGGCTCCATGGCCCTGATACCGAGTTTCACTTTACGCAACCTTGTTTTTGTTGTGGTAGTTGACCGATTCATTCCAGCTGATTTGCACAGTTAGTTTCACAGATCGTATATCAAACTGCGCAGGCATGTGCTTCTATCGCTTGTATCACGCAGCGGGTATACACTTACAACAGGGTCTATTACACATGGTCAGCACACCCACACGCTCAGTATTCACACAGATGCGGCACGCGAAGTATCTTACCTTGTCACCATCTCCCCACTGATAGTTCTTGGTGCGGATGTTCTGGTAGGGGTACTCAATGCGCTCCTCCAGAGGAGGCATGTGGCTCCAGTGCTCCCAATGCTCCTTCCAGAGATACCAGGCGTTGGCACCAGCCAGGGCCAGGCAAGGAATAACACCGCTTTATATTCAAGTTAGTCTGCAATTCAACTTCCGCTCGTAGGCTTGGGGCGGCTAAAGATCCCGCCACAAGGATGCGAAATCGCCGTGGGCTGTTAGGGTGGGCATCGGGATGCGTACTAGATGGAAATCTTCTTCCACAGCTCTGCGCAATGTTAATTGATGTGTCCCAAGGGTCAATGGCAATTGTCGGGTTCAATGGCACTCACCAGTGGTCTCCTTGGCGTGCTCCTTGATGTGCTGGCGTTCCTTGATGAACTCGTTCTCGGCCGAGGTGCTGGCAAGGCGGCGCTGAGCAGGGGCGCGCAGCTGCGCAGCGAACCGCGAGGCGTTGCGGGTGGCTAGTCGCGAAGCAAACATGGTGATGGCGATTGTCGTTGATTGATGGCGGAATGCAGGTTGTGAGATCAGGTCATCCGGGATCAATCAAGCTCGGCTAGCCAATTTTGGCGGCCTCGATCATAAGGCAGAAAGGAAGCTGTTTGGCAGCACGTGATGTCGTGCAGTTCCCGCGACCCGCCCTCCAGCCCGTGAAAGGTGCACCGCGCGACATGGGAGGAGGCCCACTGACGTCTTGATGCAATGAACGCCATTGCCATGACCTTCACCATCACACACAAGAGACTCTATATTCTGCCTGTCATCAAGCCGTATACATATACTGCTCTTTGAGACTCTGTGTACGATAGCATACAAGTCCAGTCTTACTGACTGATGAAGTTGTGTTGCCTCCTGATCGTGCAGCTTGGGCAAGCAGGATGTAAATAGCCTCTCCCATTTGCCCTGCCGTGCCGAAGCAGTGAAACACCCGTGGGCCCTCTTAAGAGATTGAAGGTGCGGCATTATGGGGTTTCGTATTACTACGTGGAATGGTGAGATTGCCAGAGCTGCCCCAGTATGCTATGTTGCTAACAAAACCGTGCAGTAAATGGCATCAGGTATTCCTTCTCAGACAAGTACTCATCTTGTGATGTGCAGCCTGCTCACGCATGAAGCAGAAATCCCTTTGGATATCAACCATGGAGAGACCAGCGCACTTTTCAGGTAAACATGTCGTTGCAGTCCCACGCAGAGTCCAGCTTACTAATGCCACACAAACTAGGCCATGTTCGACATCTTGGAATCGGACATTGTAGTCATGCAAGAGACGAAAATTCAGCGGAAAGACTTGCAAGATGACATGGTTCTAGTGCCAGGTTGGGATGTCTTCTTTAGCTTGCCAAAGCACAAAAAAGGTTCGGTCCATTCGGATGCCCCTGCAGTTAGCATCGACGGTTTACTCATCATCGCAGGATATTCTGGCGTCGCCATTTATACTCGCAATGCATCATGTGCGCCCATTCGTGCTGAAGAGGGAATTACCGGTGTACTTTGTCCTCCCAAGTCTACAACCAACTTCCGGGATCTACCTTCAGACCAACAGATTGGCGGTTACCCTCGTCCCGGTCAGCTCTCAGGCATTGTAGAAGACACGGTACTTGACTCCGAAGGCCGCTGTGTCATTCTGGAGTTCCCAGCGTTCGTGCTACTTGGTGTTTATTGTCCAGCTAATCGAGACGAAAGTCGAGTCGAGTTTCGCACCAGCTTTTTCGAGGCCTTGGATGTTAGAATACGGAATTTGGTAGCCGAAGGAAAGGAGGTTATTCTCACGGGTGATCTAAACGTAATTCGGTCAGAAGTGGATTCAACAAACGTGATGGAGAACCTGCGCAAGGAAAATATGACAATCGGTGAATGGATTTCACTCCCAACGCGACGAATCTTCAACCAACTCATATTTGAAGGCAATATTGTCGGCGATCGCGACGAGGGCCGACAGACGCCAGTTTTATGGGACCTATGTCGTTGCTTTCATCCAAGTCGATTAGGAATGAACACGTGCTGGGACACCAAAAAAAACACTCGGCCAGCCAATAATGGCAGTCGTATAGACTACATATTATGTAGCAACGGCATTAGGGATTGGTTTACTTGGGCCAATATTCAAGAAGGCCTGATGGGCTCCGATCACTGCCCTGTTTTTGCCACAATCGCTGGCACCATTGCCAGGAACGGCAGTCAGGTTAGCCTTAACGATGTGATGAATCCCGCAGGAATGTTTAAAAATGGCACAAGGGTGCGGGAGCTGGCACAGAAGGATATCTTACCGCTATCTGCAAAGCTTATTCCCGAATTTGATCGCCGCCAGAGCATCAGAGATATGTTCTCAAGAAAGGTCACCAGTGCGGAAAGAAGCACAACACCACACAATTCGGGATCTTCCAGCTTCCCTGCAGAAGACGCGAGTCAAGCTAGCGACAATGATGCTTCGAGCCAAGCAATGGTGAATACCAACACATCATCAACCGATAAACCGGCGGCCTTACCACATTCACAGCCACGCAAGAGGTCTCCTGACCCAATCGACTCCACGCCAAGGCAACTAAAGAGAAGCAAATCCGGAGCGGATCCCATTGGGTCTAGACAAAAGATCTCAGCGGGACAAACTACACTGAAGGGATTCTTCAAACCCGTTGGCTCGGCGCTCCCTTCTACGGCTGTGTTGGCAGATCCAGAAGCACAAAGCAGTGCCGCGCATCTCCCCGCTACGAAAACCCCGCCTTCTACAAAAAGAAGCTCCGACAAACTTACATCAAAGGAATTCGTGCCACCAATCTCCGAGCAGCCAGTTCATGATAGTTTTATTCGCACAGCCCCAAAATCACCTGACAGAGTGTTCGACCCTATTCAAGCCAAGGAGTCCTGGTCCAAGTTACTGGGCAAACGAGTTGTCCCTCGATGCGAGCACGACGAACCATGCATTAGCCTGGTCACCAAAAAACCTGGTGTGAATCGAGGTAGGTCCTATTGCCGCCGTATTGGCACTGTTTGTCGTTCCTGTTTGGCGTTTTCCGTGTCTCTACGGTCCTCTGACAGTGGACCTATGCTAACCTGTACATATACAGGCCGGTCATTTTATATTTGTCCCCGCCCTCTTGGGCCCTCTGGAGAGAAGGAAACGGGGTCTGAGTGGCGATGTGGCACCTTCATATGGAGTAGCGACTGGAACGGGACGTCGTCGTCGCAGTCATAGCGGCCATGTGGTATCGTCAGTGGTGGCTCTTCATAGCATCTACATTCACCATGAGCGTTGCTCTATTTATTCCGTTCACGGCATGATTCCGCCTCAGGAATGTTACCGTAGTCTTTCTCATGGTGACGTAGACTTGTGTATCTACGTGTTCCCCCGTCTGAAGACGGGGTCTTTGTCTCAGTGTAATCTACACTCCGCAACCAATGTTTGCCAGAACCCTCGCCCCGAAACTCGCTCTTGAAATTACACATTCTTCATGTTGCAGCATCCAACTGTCGCCCAGATCATGCATTGCCCACATTACCTCTTCTACCGCTCGAAATTTTGACTCTAGGTTTAGCCAGGCGCTATAGATCCGTGCAGCATGTCATGACAGTCCTGGGCGTAGAAGCCAATTTTGTCGCAACCCATGGAGTGCTCGCAACGGCATGCACTTGTCATCATTGAGTTCTATAGCGACTCCGACTCACGCCCATCGGTTGATGCATTCCGCAGAAGCATTTGATCATAGCTCGGCTCGTCGCATAAGAGGTGGCTCTTCGCCTACCTGATTTAATATACTGTTAGCGCTCTTTGCTCATTTCTTTCCCGACATGGTCTTGTGACATGATGACGTGTCTCTTTTTATTATTTTGCCCACACCGACTTTTGCGACTTGAGTAGTCACAGGGGACCAAGTCCCAGAAGTGTCGATTGATGTATCGCCCGTAGGCAAAAGTAAACCCTCGGATGAAATCTATCGTATCTCTGCCTATGCGGGCAAACCCTCGGAAATGTGTAACTGCATGAGCGCTGAAAGAGTGCCTGCGAAACCAGCAGCTATTTGACCATACATGTTCAACAAGCCCAGCATAGATGTCGTTTCAGCACGCAGACTCGATTTTGAAGCAAGGTTGTAGTAGCTCAATCGTTCACGGTGGTGCGGACGGGAGTATGAAGTTGCGCGTTCGTCAAAAACATGCTCATTGCGGTGGCAAAGGAAAGGGGTATCTTGAGCCTGCAAAGTCGTTGGCTTTTAAATATTTGCAACTCCCTAGATACAGAAAAATAAACCTATGCTATTCCATGAACTCCAGCTGCTGCCATGAATTTTGAACGGCCTCCCCTCCGAGGTCCACAATAGAAACCTGACGCAGTCCTACGAACTCGTGAGAGTTTAACACTCTCACTAGTTTAATCGACGTTGTATAAAAGCAAATAACATTCATCATGAGATTTGACCAGAATGTCATGTTTCAGAAGTCAGCTCTTAATATCAGCTCTCCCGCTCAGTATCCTTGCCCAACCACGATTCAAAGCGATCAAACTAATGGCTGAGCATGGTCTAATCGTGCAAGATGAAGTCGGGGTCATTTACTCCTGTCAGCGTTTCTCTTTGTGGTGTACTTATATCCCGGGTATTTCTCTTTGTGCATTCGATCTTCTTCTTGGGCCATCTTTTGCCAGAAGGCCTTCTCGCCATCAGACTCATTTTTCCATAGGTTGGAGATTAAGGTAGCTAAAAGCGTCAGCACATTTTCAGTATGGACTGCAGTAGTAGACACATACAAAGTTCCGATGCAGTGATGCCAGGGTGATCCTTTCTCAGTTCGCGCGATTTGAACTGGCGGTAAAGGATCCAGCTATTTCTAGGACGTGGAATGTGACTTGAGCTGTCTTCAGGCTCGGCGGTCTTCGCCTGAGCTTTCAATTCTTTCGGCCCTGAGGAATCTGGCATGTTATTAGTTTGGATACTCTTACACTTCATGTGAACTTACCACATGTGAAAAGTAGTATTCCGTAATTGGTCGGGTTAACAGCAGACCCTGGGGGAAGCGGGCAGATTCGAAACTTCTGTCGATAGGCGTCATGGAACACAGATACTGACTGCTGCACTCGCCGGCTGTCTTGTTTAGAATACTAAATCTCAGTAAGAAGTAGGAATTTTTGTACCTGAAGTTACTGGCAATGACTTCCACCAGGTTTCTGTGGAAGGTTTCCGGGATGAAAATATGGACATTGCCTTGGATCTCGCTGGTAACGAATGTTACTGGAGTGTCTAACATTGCTCCATCTTGGATATGAATTCGTGGCCGCATCTCGATATATATAATCTGAATGTCGCTTTTTTCTTCGGCTGCTTCGTAGGATGTGAGTGGGAAAAGGTGCACGAACGGTAGTGAAGTTTGCCAGAAGCACAAACCTAGGTTGCTGCATTGAGTGGGCAGCATAGACCCAACATTCCACTCAGGTGACCTCCATTAGTCCAAGATTCTAATTCACATCCGTCACTTTTTATTCAGCCACATGAACTCGGACCACTTTTGTTGATCTTTCACTGCCAACACTTTTTTTTCACCAACACCCAAAATGGAGAGTATTTGTCAATTTTCGCCATTATGGCGAAGGTCAGAACTGGTTTCAAAACCTCAGAGAGCTATAGAAGAACTTCGCCTACAGTCTCTCAAGCTATTTCTGAATAGACACCGTTCTCAAGAAGTCAGAAATCTTACATTGAACGGTACGCCATTCCAGAGCCCATGTTTGAACTTCTGCTGACCACTATATAAATTAGAAATTCTGAGAGAATGCCATTCGATGTTCCAGCAACTTTTGAGTGACGCAGCTCAAGGGAACGAAATTCTCCAAAGAATCCGTGATATCAGCATGGTTTTGCGCACCAGTCCTATTGGCATTGTCGAGGCCACTTTGAGAGTGTGGTATGCCAGCTCGGTGCCAGTTTTCACACGGGATCCGCAAGATGGTCTCCCTCTGGACTCTGCAATGAGAGACACTAGCAACGGTGTATCCACGCTTACTTGGAGTCGTTCTTATTCCACTGAGCAACATGAAGTTGGAAACCTGGGGCTCATGGCAATGCTGATGACTTCCGAAAACTGGCTACCTCCAAAGCATCCAAATCTAAAGGCCGCTTCTCTTGTCTCCAGTGCAGTAACCACAATACTTTTCGCTTCATATCTCATATGTCCTCAGGTGTTGCGGTCCCCTGGGTCTCTCAGCACTACTATGGGGCAAACCGACGAAGCCTTAGCGTTGTTCATCAAAGCATCCTATCAGGTTGCTTGTGAAAACTTCGATAAGTTTGATAGCCCACCTGGAAGTGAGTTTGGTGCTACTCCAGATGAGGTGAAGCTCAGTCATAATGGCAATCGTTTTTTAACAAAAATTGGATGCAATACCTGGTCTGAGCCAGCATACTGGCACCCTTGTCGAAAGGTTCCCGGTTCTAATTGGAATAAATTTATTCGAAACTCTAGCCGTCCGATTTTTCCTACTACATCTCCACTGAGAAATGAGCTGGTTGTTGTTCTTCCAAGCACATTGTTTGGCCTCGCTCAACCCTGGGCGGTTTACTACAATATGCTTCGTGTTAGATTTTCTCTAGTAAGTTCTTTCTAATACCCATTCTCGTGGAAATATTACTGACTTTCATTTTAAGACTGGACGACCACGCAGAAATCTCAGTCTCAAGGCGCGTCAAGCTCAATATGGTGAGACTGCAGCAGCTACGGGGCGGCCATATTCCTCCCGAACAATTTCTCCACAGGTACTTTACTAACTTGAGTATTGCTTTTATGGAGTATGCTAATGAGGCTCTCAGTTTGCAAATGATGAAAGCAATTTGGAGCAGTCATACCTCTTCAACATTCCCTTGGTAGGCAATTAATACTTGTTACTAAATCTCAAGGAGTTCAGTGGCATCTAATCATATTTTTTATAGACAAGAGGGCCAATGACGGACTTGCATGGGCACTTAACCTTGCCTTTCATGACGTCTGCATTAAGGGCTTTGAGGTTTCAAGGAGAGCCCAACGAACTAGTACGAAATTTTAAGCTGATTAGTTTTTGGTAATCTTTTATTCTATCACTATAATACTGGATCAAGTGAGATGGCCTAGTTCTATGTAGCTCTGAATACACTTTCTTGACCCCGAAATGGACATTGTCAATAGACTCCTGGTATGATGCCGCGGCCCACCCATCCACATCACATTGCAAGCTGCCGCAGTCTCTTTTCGCTCTTTCTAATGGATTTCGGCGATGCATACTGAGGCGCTTCATGATTCTGGCGATTCTGGTGGTGCTGATAGGTAAATGAGTAATCCGCAGCATAACGCGTCACGAAGTATTAGTTGCAAGCCGTCTTCGAATTTTTACATATAGCTGCTTTGATAATACCTAGGTGACCTGTTTACCTTATTCTGTGAATGTTTGCTAGCCGTTTATTAATTAATACCTTATAACTACTTTGAGACGAGGAATCATGACCCAGAAATGGTACAGGCTCGAACCAAAAGATTGAGATTTGTCTTGATGCAATATAGCTCTTTGCTAAGGGCTAAGGGCGTTCAGCACACTGGGTAAATCTCATGCATCTCTATTATTATCTATCTGGCGATTATGATGCTTAGAAGTTATGTAGACATCTAGATATAATTAGATGGATGCATGTTAATCTTTTTACATTGGAGGACCGGAAGATGCTTTCAATTTTCGCATATACATAGGTAGTTTTACTAGTTCTTAACCTCAACATAACAACCCCAACGATATAAGTTTATCTTTCAACTGGAAGAACTGATTTCTTAGTTACGGCCTACGACCTATAATCATAGGTAACACCGTGCCATGATTTTGCATATGCCAAGCTCTTGCAGCGCTGACAACTGTGGTTATCCAAATCAGAATAGCCCAACTTGGTGGTGTGGGTCATGGTGGCTCGCTCCCCCAGCCACCATACACCCTAGCACCATTTGCTTAGACACCCCTGCTTATGTTCACCCCTGTTGCACCAACTCAGAGAGCCCTTGTCTCATAAGTACACTCCCTCCCGCTCTCCGTCTTCTCTCCATTTGAAAACTACCTCACCGAGCTCTTTTTTCTCATGGACATACGTTGAATCTCGAAAGAAGAAATCGAAATGGCGACTCGGGCAGAACTCATGCAGCGTCTTTCCATGCTTCCGACTCAGGAACTCCTCCATATTCTCAAGGATGAGACAATCTTCGACATCGCTGCTCAGTACTTTGACGCTTCAATGCAGTCAAACATTTTGCCATCAACGACTCCCGTGATACATAACACTCACAAGACCAAGAATACTGTTTGCGACAAGGCGAAACGACCACTCAATGCCTTCATGGCATTTCGCAGTAAGTTCATTACAAAACCTATCAGTGATCCATTCTTACCCAACTCAGGTCATTATTTAAAACTGTTCCCCGACGTACAACAAAAGAGTGCATCTGGCTTCCTAACGACTCTCTGGAATAAGGATCCGTTTCGAAACAAATGGGCACTCATTGCCAAAGTTTATTCTTTCGTTCGAGATGAAATTGGCAAGGACAAAATTACTCTGGCATCCTTCCTCAGTTTCTCCTGTCCTGTGATGGGAATCATCGAGCCACAATCTTACCTCACCATACTCGGGTGGTCAGTCGGAGGAGATTCAAATTCCCAAAGATTAATCCAAGATGAAACTTTAGCAGCTCTTGGACAGTCTCGATTGCAGTCTGATGGGGTCCCGAGTACTGAACTAGAGCTGCTTACAGCTTTGGTCAACGTTGGCTACCTACCTGAACAAGGCATTGACCTCATGGGAAAACTTGGGGCCAACAATAGCAGCATCATGGCTACTGCCACTCAACCCAGATTGTCTCTTCCGGTTTCTTACACTCCAGAAAAGCTTCAGTTTATGGGTACCATTCGGAGTGACCCGGTTCAGGCAACCAAGGAGCTGCTGGGGGACGTATATGATGACTACACCATTCAAATGCTCGGAGTCAAGGCTCATAACGTTGAAGATCTTGACTCAATCAATCACCTACCCATGCAAGTGGAAATGCCAGATCCAAGGTACTACTACAATTATTCCACGAGTCACGCTCAGCTGTCGCTTGCCGGTGCACCAACAATGAGTTTTGAAAACATCCCAGAGCACGAAAGTTTCGATATCGACAGTCCCTGGGACGTAGACACTATTCTAGGTCAAACTCAATCAGAGGGAGACAGAAGTGAGTTTACCGAGCTTCAACATGGCAACTTCAACTAACAGTTCCTTCAGCTGGAAATATTCAACGAAGCCCTATGCATAACCCGCAAGACGACTTCAATTACCCGTTTTGAGGGGTAAAGAGGCTGCGAATTTGGCGTTAGGCATCATCTGCTCTAGGTCCCGAGCTTGTATTATATGTTTCGTTGAGGCGTTCAGGACACATTTTGCTACAAGAGACACCAAAGTGTCGCTGGGACACATAAAGGCACAGGTTGTCATTCACAGGCGCAAGCGGGTCGGCCCAAAAATTTTGTTTTATTTTTTATTTCATTTTCTAGTTCCGCCTCGATACCCCATGAATTGAATGTTAACACAAAATCGAATTTCTGGCCTTACAACATTCAAGCTGTGAGAGATGTAGCTGGCGTGTAGGCAAGGCAGCGCCACAAGAAGCTATTGGCAAGATGATGATAATTTGTTGGCTAGGACGGAGCCCCAATACACCCACACCCTGATGAGGAGCAAGAAATGGCCCTTTTCATTGTGCCTTTTGATCGCGCCTCTTGAACAGTCATGCGCCACATCCTGAGTGTCCGGGGCGGGGGGCTGCATCAAACCGGTTTGTTCTAGATGTCATAGGGGCATCTGGCCAAACCAAACTAGCATATACCGCCACTACGCATTCTCCAATGAGCCACGGCTTCGGCACTGAATTAAGACTAACTGCCTTCACACCTTCACAAGGAAACAAAACGGAGTGGAGATGGTAAACTTGCCGAGTTTCACCCAAGTACTAATTTTGACTGTTGAGTTGATCATCAGTGTTTCTAGGCCGAGCCACGACGATGGTGGATATGGGGGAGGCGGACACTCCTGGGACACGGATTGCCTGTGGGTTGGTTCGCCTAGTCATCAGGGAGAACCAGAGTGCTGAAATGGTTTCAAAACGACCCAGGGCTATGGCCTAGGTGCGCAGTGCGTCCTTTGGCCAGCTCTTGTTTGTCTGTCCTCTTCATCGCAGTTGTTGATCCCCACAAAGCCACCGAGACCATGGGACAGCAATTCTGCAAGCCGGCTCTTACATCCTAACGGCATTTTCTGGAGGGGGATGATTGGTTACCGGCAGCTGCGAGCATACACAGCTTTAAACCCTCCTCCATGTCATATTTCTAATTCCCTGGTAGGCAGAACCATTTTACGCCTTGTCACTGAACGATTCCCAGTCCGACACCCTGTAGGCATTGGGTCCCAGGCATCGTTGTTCATCTCTAGCTATTGCTGTTGTTGCTGTTGCTGCTGCTGCTGCTGCTACTTCTGCTGCTCTTCTGCATCGCAAGTTGGGAGCCAGCATCGGCAAACCCTTGCACAGATTTCGGGATCTATGAATGGATCCCTGCGTCATTGTTTCTTTATTTGTAAGTCTTGGTTTTCTCCGTAAGAGCTCTGAGCATTCGGCCTACCGTTTGCCTGTGACAAATTCTGTCGACCCGGCCGAGAGACACCAGAGTTGCAGCCTCCGCTCTCTAGGCCGTGCACGTCGATCGTCATGATGCATGAGTCCAAAGCGTTAACCGTACTACTCGGCCCGTAGGTTTCAAGGACGCCAGGCACAATAGTGATTACCCGACGACCTCGAGGACTCAGACACTGTGATAGCGTGAATACAGAGCAAGCCAACAACTTTGTCGCACGGACGAACCAGTTCCGGCACAGGTTGTCAAATGACTCTGGAATACTAGATCCAAATGACGCCAATTTTTGAGACATAAACAAGAGAGACCCAGAGACATGTACTTGGACATGATTAGTGCGCATACAGCACATACTTCGCACACCCTCTAGTAACACCATGGCCCGAGCAGCGTTGTTGGAGCGAAGGCTGTTGAGTCCAGCAACCCAACCAACCGCTCTGCCCACGGTCTTGTATACCACCGCGGTTGACTACCTAGTTTGTGGTCAAGACTGCAAACAACGCAAAGCTCATGGATGAAATTGCTTGCAACAGTTGGTGATTTCCTCAAATCTCTCAAGCGACTAGTTTGTTTGCTTTTTCCGGACCATATAACGGGAGCGGTTGCACACGCATAGCCAACGTCCAGGCACGCGTCCGAAGTCCAAGTGCCATAGCCGATCCACTTAGCGGTACATCCAACTTTATAGTGATGGGTTTCTAGGGCATTGTGCTGGTGTAGGGAGTACAAATTGCATGCATTGCAAGAATGCCATTCTTCTGTGGCTGGTTCCCGCACGGGTGCGACCCAACAACAAAACTTTGTGTCTCAACACTCGGACGGATCCACTCCCGAGATGAAACAGACATCGCGCAAGTACAATACTGTGTACTGAGCTTGCTCAATACGTACGGGTTTGCTTCAATACGGCATATCCTGGAGCCAAGGTCGGCGTTATGAGTGTGCGGTTATCGACTAAATCAACTATGCAGATGGTACGGCCAACATGCAACCCAAAGTCGACCACGAGATTAGGGGGTCGGTTTGAATTTGAATGGTGCCAGGATCAAGAATGCATGCAATACGGAGTATTCGAAGCAAAATTTCAGGCGACAAAATTGAGTATTCCATACACTCGGCCTGGAGGAGACCAACGGGACGATCATGGCAACAGGTAACTATTTGGTCCACCAGATCCTGCCCCAGACAGAGCTAGACAATGTGGCTTCGGGAATGAGTAGGAAGCATCATCAGCAGTTTTTGAGAACGGAGAAGAGTAGACGGGGCCGTTTGGCTATAGCATCACCAGAGATCGAGGCGGTCGAGTCCAAGTTCTGAACACGGACAACTCCGTACAATGAATGAATTGAGCGATGAATAGGTGGGTCGATGAAATCCGATTCTGACAGCCTCCAAGTGTCTCTGCCATCTGAGCTCATCGGAGATGGGAGGACGGTGGTGGTGGGAAGACGATTAGAGACGCAGACTTGGGGGAGCCACGCGGATATCGCTGGCAATATCGGAACCTCGGTGGGGGAGCGGCCGCCAAGCAAGGAACGGGGATGTCGCCACAGAGGAATAGACAGGCTATCCCAACCAATCATTCAATCCTGTCTGTCTCTGATGTCAGCCATACTGCATTGGTCCATTGCTGGACGTTGAGCATTGGACAGGCATGACGAGGCTCGCGGCAGGCAACGAGCGCAGCCCGGCCTTGACCAACCAACCAACCGAGCATCTGCAAGAAATTTGGAAATTCCAGTCGGCAGATTTTCAAGTCCTCAGCAGCCGGGAATGGCGCTGTCAGGTAATATGCTGGCCTTTGAAGTGATATGTGACGGATGGTTCTTTGGTCGGACACGTGCGATGTACGAGTGTTCAGTTGAATACCTCTGCACGTGCTCCGGATAGACTACCGAGCGTTATTGTACTGTACTCCGTACAGTCTACTCCGTAGTCCCTTGGCAAAGAGACGAGTAGTAGTAACACAAATGTCTTACTCGGCCGAGGATTGAAGCCGGTTCGATCAAATACGTGACGGGCAGGTAAGGGAACGTCGGTCGTGTCGTGCACGCGAGGCCATGATTTAACGGGCCCCTGCTGAGTAAGGGCATATTTACTTTGGGTACCCGGTAGGTACTTCGGTGAGGCAGGTGGTCTGGTTGGTAAGTCTGGTAGCCTGGAAGTAGCGTTTCTGTCACATTTTGACGCACGTGGTGCTCTAGCAGCATTCAAACTTGAAGCTAACTGGTCAACGCTGCGCATTCTTCATCTCTTTATTCTGCGGTGTCAGTACGGAGTAGTAGTACGGAGTAGGACGTCCGCTTCGTGGCCCAAAGCCACGCCACTTACTCAGCAGCTTCGTACGGAGTACCTCAATCCGAGTCCTCCCGTCGTTCTGGCTCCAATCGGCCTCTGCGGCTCGCTCTACAGTGTTTCAACTTTCGACATGTCTCTGAGCCTCGTTCAGTCTCACGGCCCGCTGTTCTAGACAATGGCAGACTCTCTCACTTCCTTCGATCGGCATTGGTAAGTACGCTTCCTTCACTCGCAATCATTAACGACACGCCACATCCGCGAGTTGCCCCTGCTACTTTATCTTCCTCTCTCCTGCTCCTTTACTTCGTCTTGGTCAGTTTCTGCTCCCTACTCAATACAATATCATTGATTCAGTTCGTCATCTAGCGTATAATTGCCAACGCTGTGGCCTATTTCACTTGGCAAGCGAAGTCAGTCTCAAGCATATTTCGCTTGGCCATCGCTAAGACACCCTCGCCTACTAATGGTATCGACATGAATCCATTGTCCACCGCCCAATAGCCCTACACCAAAGCTGTTGGTCTTGGGATTGCCATTGCCGTTCCCGGTGTTTTTACGAAAAGATTAGAGCCGGTGTACGGTTCTCTGGGCATTCCTCCGACCGTTATGGGTGGAAGTGCCTCCAATCCAATGAGGTGTCAAAGGCCGCTTTTACAACGCTTCAGACACAATCGATAGCCATCTCGAAGACTTTGGCGCTCGGAAGCAGACACACTCACACCTCGGACATGTCCGAATAAAGAGGCAACAATTGAAACGGCCTCCCGATTGTTCAAGGCTGCATGCAGACCAATCGGCAATGCCCGGTATTCGTCTAGTACAAACGGTGGGCGAGCCCAATGTGGCCTAGCGACAAGCCCAGTGACTCCTGCTACCATTCAGAATAAATGGAACACGAGTTGCGGTCTACAAGGGCTTGCTTCTCGATTGCAAGGACTGTGGGTTGGTACAAAAGACTTTTAGCTTGTGTGTGACAGGCGCGTTGCGACTCGACATGCAGATCTGAGGGCTAGCATTTGATGGTAAATGGTTGTTTTGACTTTGATATACTATCCTGACGCGTGATTTTCTCTTGCTTCCTGGTTTGGTTGTCAAGCTTGGTGAGGGAAATCGTGTCCCGGCGTCACGGTGTTCGCACTATTGGATCCAATAATAGACTGCGGACGACGCGACGACGCTGTATAAGTGCACTTTTGGCTGCCTGGCACGCATTTGGCAGTGGGAGGAGGTCAAACGGGTACTATGACTGTCACGTTCTCACATCACCGACCAACCTGCGCACCTCAT